GATCCCTATCTACTGGACTGTTACCAGACGACTGGAAATGCTCAGTCGTAAAGCCTATACCGAAAGGTGGTAACCCAAGTAAAGTGGATAACTACCGACCGATCTGCCTAACTGCTGTTTTGGCAAAGACGCTCGAGAAGATCGTGAAGAAGAACCTTCTGCAGCTTCTCGAATCGGAAAGCCTGTTGACCTCCGCACAGCATGGTTTCATGAAAGGTCGCTCGTGCATCACCAACCTACTGTTGACAAGGCATGAGTGGTTACAAGCGACGAACCAAGGCCATTCGGTCGATGTCATTTACATTGACTTCAGTAAGGCTTTTGACAAGGTTAACCATGCAGTGCTACTTGACAGGCTGAGGATGTACGGTGTTGGTGGTTCGCTACACAGATGGGTCAGAAATTTCCTTGTGGATCGGAAGTGGAGAGTCCAGGTGGACAACCATCTAACGGACTGGTATTCATCGAGCAGCGGCATTCCCCAAGGCACTGTACTGGGGCCGATATTGTTTCTGATCCATGTAAACGATGTGCCTCAGCTACTCCAATCACCTTGTGCGTTGTTCGCAGATGACTTGAAGGTGTGGAGAGTAATCCGCACACTCAATGATTGTGATTTACTTCAGCAGGATCTCGACAGCCTCTCAACACGGTCTGCAGAGGTCAACCTTCCGATCAACCCTGCTAAGTCGCAATTCATGAGGTTGGGTAAATGTGAGCACAGCCGAACGTACACTGTGGCTGATCAACCGCTGCATCCCGCGTCTTTCGTGCGCGACCTCGGTGTGCTCTCACGCTGCGACCTAAAGTCCATTGACAACATGAATAGGCTGTACCAAAACAGCCTTCGGATGCTTTGGGCGCTCAGGCGCAGCTTCATCACTTGGTCCGAAGAGATTGCCACTCGCCTCTTCGTCTCGATAATACGACCAATGCTAGAGTACGGCTCTCCCGCATATTGTCCCATCACGCTGGGCGAGGTAGAGAAGCTTGAGCGGGTGCAGCATGTAGCCACTAGGCTGATTCCCAACTTACGAGGTATGCCATATGAAGACCGATGTAAGAAACTAGGGCTGTACACCCTAGCATATCGTCGGATGAGGGTTGACCTAATCATGACGCACCGGATATTACATCTGAGTGATTACCCCATGTTGAGACAACTGCTTCATCTGCGCACACCAAGCAGCACGCGAGGACACCGGTACAAACTTATCGTACCGCAGAAGAAGCGGGTAGCTCACCAACACTGTTTCGAACGTAGAGTGGTGAATACCTGGAACAAACTGCCGCAACCGATAATAGAGGCGGACTCAGTGGCCGAATTTAAGAAGCTTCTAGACAAACACTTCGCAGAGGCAAAATATAAAGAGCGAAACGATAACTAATACGTTAATGCCCAAGAGCGACAACTGATGCAGCTACACAGAGTATGCTCTACTTGCTGCTTCTAATCAGTATCAGTATCAGAGCTGCCTTCAGGTCAGTTGGAAAGTCACCACTTGAACGGATAGCTTCATTCAATTGTCACTATTTTATGGGTGGTGACCAATCGGGTACTACAATCCGGACATCACCACATCCTGTTTCCGTTCTTCACCAACTTGAGAGCATCGTACGACACTGGTCTCTTGCGTCGAGAGACAAACCTTGTCAATCTGTCGCAAGAACCAAGTGTGGTGTGGAACACCTCTTAGGATCAGGTCCCGTATGTCCAAGAGCACAAAATCTAGCGTTACCTAACGGTTCTACCACATGGCTTGGCTTATGAGACTTTCCTCAGTTGGATCGCGTTGATTCGAAGTATCACTTTAGAGATTGCATGTAGGGATCAGATCATTGTTACGCAGATGTAATCCCAGTTTTTCCGAACTGCGACAGATGGGGTTTCCGTCCTTGTTTCTAAGCTTATTCTTAAGGTGTATTCTAACAAAGCCATGGGATGCCACTAACTACACTGCTTGCGGTCTTTTGTTCCCACTGCATGGTGTCGGACTACCGATTCCCTACCATGTCCATCTGGGGATAATGGCGAGGTCAGCTACGGTGCTCCGCTACATAGGCACTGAATGACCAGTAGTGGCAACGGTGATGAGCTTACGATGTTATAGGAATCATCCTTCTACAGCCGTACAAACGACCTTCGACCTCAATTTAATTCCGCGTCGCTGGGATTTTTAACAAACCTCCGCTACAAGGGCATCATACGGTCGACCGACAATGTTCTTTTTTCTCTGGCTCTTCTTTTGGTAATCAGTACACTACTGATTTATGATTTTGTAATTTCTTGTAATTTGCCATTCAACACAATTCCGACGAACACGTGGGGCTGTCTTTGGCAATGTTTTAGTCTTCCTATGGTGTTCTCGTAAACATTGCATCAAGTAACGCAATCTCCGATGCTAATTGCCTGGATTGTGACATTTGCGGTTCACATTTTAAATTGACTGAACGCTAACACTCCATGGTAACGTCAGGCATACTGAACTCTGGAAATGAATCAAGGCCAGATAACAGCATCGCCGTACTTCTGCGTCAGCTGCAGCTAAAGAAAGGAGTTACTTGAACTATCCATCCGAAAGTTACTAATGCTTGAAACCCCCGCACGAGTGATTAACGCCAAAGTATGAGAAACATATTCAGCGCATCTATGTATAAACAGTTTGAAGCACGAATAACGGATATTGAAGCTGTTGACCTACCAAAGATTGCAGCCGCGTGAATGTTTAGGGTTTAGGTAAGATTGTTGTACTGTTTGTATTCATTTGCGCCCAGCTTTCGTAAGAGGAAACCCACTTTGGCCGCATCGACAAGCATTGTCACGTCAGTCACAATGATGTTTCTATGTCAGATGCAGCAGGTCGTGACAGTGATATCATTATCTGTGACATATCGGGATCTTGCATTCGTTTGCTACTAATTCGGCTGAAACCGAACCGATTTTTAACACAGTGTGTGCATGATTTAGGTACGAAAAGTTCTCTGCGAGTGAAGGGAGGTGTTGCTCCTTCCAAACACCGAAACACCTCCATTTCGTTTACGGTCCTTATGATCGGAAGAACTGAGACCTACTCCCAAATGTACTTAGGTCTCAACAGATTGCGTGTCACAATCTAATCACACGGCGAGTACTCCAAATGCAACTTCGAATTCCTTACCGCTGTGCCAAGCGTTGCTCACGGATCGTAGAGCCATAGTGATCAAGGCCCTGAGTTCCACTCCAGCTCAGGCTATGTGCATCTGATGAGTCCGGACGAGGACGAAACCGGTTATGGGGTGTCAGGGTTGGGATGAGCAACATCGAACCACTTCCAATTCGGATGCGGTCCTTGCGATCGTAATGAATCAGGTCTACTTCAAAGTGAACCGATGTCTGAATAGAGATTACATGTCGCGATCCAACCACACGGCGGGTACTCCAAATTTGAAGTTTCTGCGAGTACTTGGAACAATAAAGTTTGCTTCCGTTCTTGTTGAAGCACAATTCCCTTGTTGGAACTGGACATACTACAACAATTGGGATAGCTGTGGATAACTAGCCCTCCCCGTCATCAATTGTTTTATGCATGATCGACGGGGCATAGGACCGTCAAAACAATGGTATCTGCGTCAGACAGAACAAGCTTTAAGTCACATGACAGGTGAGGAGGCCGACACCATGCGGTAAAAAAGCATGTTAACCAGACCGCATCATATGATCGACGTTTTCAGTCACATGGCCCACAACATGGCCCACAACTATGAGGAATGGAACTCGTGACTTGTGACTTCGCTTTCCCTGGTCGCTAGATGTAGGGTCTCTTCTTCGATAAGCCGTTTTATTTTTCTGAATGCGTCATTCCGCGCAAGTCCGAGATGTGACACTGGAAGCGAGGCCAAACCGAGGATACTGTGGGGAGAGCAGATGTAGTGAATCGTGCTCGTGCGTATGAATGCTTATCTTTCACCATTGAATTCGATTGTGAATTTGAATCGGTTAGCCTTTGGCGCAACTAGAACGTGATGCGTAGTTGTACGAAACCCTTTACATCGACAGCATTTTGTGGTTGACCGAAACCCTCGTCACGAACTTCGATGCTGCCGTTCCTTACTTGCATTCGTAGCCGAGTAGGTCGAGTGAATTAGGTGTTTCTCTGACTGCAGTGGAAATGCAACGTAGAGCTTGAGCCAGTCTCTAGTATGTCAGAATGATGATGAAGCCACTTGTGCAATGCCATGAGTAAAGTGAGCGATTACGACCTGGCATAATCGCAGGGGGGGGGAATCTGTCTTATCTGCTTTTCTTAGACGAGGATTACCAGTTTGTTTGCAGCAAACCTCCTCGTTAACGGATCTTGCTTATTTCCCTTAGTGTGCTTACCCAAGTCAACTGGTAAAAACAATTGTATCGACGCTCTCAAATTCATTAACTAAACTTGATTCAAAAGTGTTCACTGACATTAGCCACCCTCTTCACACTACACTTTCCAACTGTATATCTAACTCGTCTACCAGACAAAAGTATAGAGCAATATATGCCCACGCGAAGGCCTATGGTTTGTCGGTCCTTCCCTGTTTAGTCAGATTTCTATTTGACCAAAACGCTATTATTCAGGAAATGGCCGGTGGCCGAGTGGTCTGCACGTTTGCTTTGCAACCATAAGCTCACCGGTTCGAATCCGCGTAGCGGTGGGCGTCCTCGCGGTATACTCAGCCCGCGCTCGACTGGTGGTGGTCGCGCGGCAGCGAAGCGCCGTTACGGTGTACAGCTGGCACATTATTATTATTATTATTATTATTATTATCATTATTATTATTATTCATGTCGATAACATGTGTGTCGAGACTGAAAATTCACCCATCACGGGTACATAAAAGCGCATTTTTGACTTGAGTTCACTTACAGGCGAATACTTCGCATTGAAAAATGACACCAACAAGAAGAGGAAATTGTTGAAAATGAAGGAGTTGACTAGACAGTATGCGTCTGGTAGATGCGTAAAAGTGAAATTGAAGTTTACCTGAGGAAAATCCGTGAATGCTGCTGGTTTCGTGGGCCCCCGTCAGGCGCCGACTGTTGTCCGCTCCTTGTTTGGGGTCGTAGACGCTAATATGCTCAACATGTTTGAGCGAAAGCTTGTGCACAGCGGTTTCGATTGCCCTGGAAAGGTCACAAAGCAAGTGTTGGTAACCGTCTATCCAAGTACACATGATTCCTCATTTAATGTGACTGAAATACTCACAGCACCCCACTAACAGTGGAGCATTACTCATTATGACAAACAAACGCGCCTCCATCTCGCATGTTTTGCTTACTGCAACGCAGATAACGGCTTTGGTTTGAAAACGCAATGTTGCCACACCGATTCCATGGTTTTCACAATGTGTCAAACCTCAGGTCGCAGCCTCACGCGAGCTGATACACATATTTAACATGCCATGTTTGCGCATAGGCGCACGTAGAGGAGGTAAGAGACGAAGCTAAGAGCTCATATATGATATGGAATTAGTGCTTGGCTCAAATCAGAGGATCGGTTACGCCCTGTCTTGCCACGCGAATCTAAATATAGGCTTAATTATGATCCGTATATTGATGCTACAATGAAAACTGACAAATTTTACAGCCTTCAATATCAATGACTTCACCGACTTTTGTTGGGAAGTCGTGATTAGATGTCCCTAATAAACGTTACTGCAGCACACACAATTGGAAAACTATCGCTTACAGTGCAAACGCCTTAGACCGTTTTGCTCCAATGTTCACGTATTAGAAATATGGCTCTTTTCTAAGCAGTACTTACGAACAGAACATTCAGCTAGCAACTTACCGACATGCCACAACCAAAGAGCTTATACAATCTGCCTGCTTGGCATAAGCCTCTCCGGATCCTGGTTGCGCAGCTGGATTCATAGTGTGGTTTCGGTTCAAGTCAACACTCATTCATGATGAGCAAATGTTTGTGGTCTCCATCTGTACGGAGATGCTCAACGGTTACTTGCCTCTTACGCCTCTCCGCTATTCATTGAACTACACATGCTAGTACTTCATAAAAGCCATTAAACGACTGCTACTAAACGAAATCAAGAAAATATACCTCAGCGGCACTATATAAACAATGAACAATGAGTTATCACGGGATAAAAGCGAGTGCTTGTCACGTCCCGTAGTATGCTTGGGGTGAATACGATGAAATCAAAATATATGTGGGTCATCTACCGAGTGTCTACCGAGGTGAATGCTTTGATACATAATGTTAGTGTAACCTAAAAATCGAGTGTAACCATACAGAATGAAATACGCTGAGTGCAGTGATCGTTGATGTAATGCGTAAGAAAAGTACTATATGGTCGCTCACATATGCACCGCCTTCTTGGATCCATGTGACGCATAAATCCCGTAGTAGGGAGTGATTGGAGGTAAACCAAAATGGTGTAGTTTACCTAACGAAATGCTGAGAATTAAGAGCAACGTCCAATCGTTTTTTGAAAATGTCCAAAGTAGGGGAGGATAAAACTGAGTCTCGGAATGCGTTCCAGAGTTGGCAAACCCGAATGAAAAAATAATTCCGTCGACACTAGACGGCTATATTTTTCCCAAAATTTCAAGCAGTTACTCCTGAGCTGCGAGTTGTGACTTTCAGTAAATAGTGGCATACGTGGTTGGGGTCACTCAGTATTTGCTACGCTAATATGAAATCGCCGCACAGCCTACGATAGCATCCGCTGAAAACTCCCAGCAATTTCAACCTGGTAAGAGCGACAGCGCAGGTCCTTGACGTTCTTTGTTGCTCTTCGTTATGGTGCTTCTGATGCCTCTATGTCACACTTCAACCAAGGTTGCCAAGCTAGGATAGCGTATTCAATGTGAGGGCGCATGTAGGAAGATTGAGGGAGCATATCTCCAGAATGCCCTTCGTCGCCCCTTTTCGCAAGTACCTCAGCCTATTTTGAACAGCTGTGGTCACTCTGTACGTGCATACCAAGGTCACATCTCTGGGAGCTGATCTGCAATCCGCGTGCCCCTAGCAAATACGTGTAGTCATGTTTATGGCGTAATTGCACAACCCAACACTTGTCTACTTTGAATGACAGGGAGTTCAGAACTGACCAGTTCAAAATCGCGTTAGATCGCACTGGAGCCTTTTCTAATCGGCTGGTCCTCTGATCCTTCGCCATATTTTGATATCATCCGCGAAAAATAGGAAATCGGAAGCAATTGATTTCGCTAAATCATTAATGAACACCAAAAATGGACGAGGTCCAAGCATCAAGCGTTGTGGTGCACCATACTCTACATCAATTGCATCGGACAGAGATTCCCGGACTCTTACCTCTAACCGTCATTCATGTAGAAAATTGCTAATGCAACTCAAGATTGGGTCGCCAATGCCCTAGCTCCGAAGCTTCTGAAAATGAATTTGATGGTCTATAAGGTCAACCGCTTTTGAGAAGTCCAGATAGAGTACATCGACTCCTGCTCCATCATCAACGACTTCAGTCCAGCTATTACGTGCAATTAGTAGGTTAATAGTTCATGAACGCTTCTGACGGAAGCCATGTTGCTCTGGGGCTCTTAAGTTGTGGCTTTCCAGATACTGCGTTAGTGCATCTGAGATGGTTGATTCCATAACTTTGGATGGTCCAGGAAGGAGCGTTATTGGACAGTAATTGGTAGGGGGGTCAGTGCGGCTGCCTCCCTTATGAATAGGAGTGATAACTCCTCGTTCCCATTCTGGTAGATAAGATGATGGTTTTGTTTGTGCAATACGTTTTCATGAATACCAATGTATCCTGATGGCATATGCCCCAAGGCATGGATGGTAACTGCCACGAGCTTGACTGAACCATTATCTCAGTTTTTCCAGCGCTGTCTCGACGAAGTGCAGGTTCTAATTATGTGGAAGCGGGGAAGTCACCCCCAGTTACATGAAGGGCAATCGTGCTGTGCCAACAAACAAGCACCTGATTACTCTTCTTCTGGTGCCTAATGAAGTCATAAAGTCTGTCGCTGTAGGAGCACTAATGGGATAGCTAGAAAAGTACAATATCATCAGCACAGCTGCCGCAAAAGCACTCAAATACCACGAATCTTTTGTTAAACCTTGCTAGCTGGATGGAGTCTGTCGATGTTAGAGGAGTCGACGCCACCTACCTTGAATTCTCAAAGACCTCTGATCGCCCAGATCACCGCATTCTTCTTTAAAAGCTTCAGATCTGTGAGATTAGTGACTCCATCCTACAATGAATACATTCATTCATGCTCCAACACGCTTAAGTTCAAAGCCATCAGATGTAAAATAATGGGCATACACCACCATAGCACCTTCGACTAAGAGGATATGTTTTGTAGCGCACTTCCCCTGAAAGCGATATTGGGCTAGGAAGATCTCGGAGGCTCAAGACAGGCCAAAAACAGCGAAAACGAACTACCCAACACCTGGGCCTACTATGGGCGGTGCTTGGCCGGTTCGATCCTACGTTCTTTTCTCAAATGCCAGACGTCTACGTGTAACCACATGGGGAATGAGCTATCCAGGTGTGGTAGCTGGCCAAAATATGACCTCGTTGCTCGAGAATGCATAACGGAGAGTGGCTAAAAATGATAAAAGCTTGTTCCACCACCCTTGTCCGTTGAAACTAAACACCCTAGGCATTTTCAGTGGGCAATATCGTCGTCTGCGAGGTGATCTTTAATTAGTGTATCAGATGCTCAAGGATCCTAATCACCTATACCGACAATTATTGAAATAGCCATCATTAAGCCATTATTTGAACTTGGTCACACAGTACAGCCGATTGGAATACTGGTGAAACCTTCCCACAATTCGTGTGTCCCAGCCATGATACGTTCTTCCGCATTATGTAATTGCCGCTCTAACTTTAGCTAAATTCAAAATTTGACTTGATGTAGTGTTACACTACCTACATCACATTATTTAACCCAAGTTACTGGGAAAAGGGATAACATCACTAAACTCTGTGTACACATAAAATTTGCGGTGAGTCCACCGCAAACGCGTTATCTTTTACTTGATATCTTCACTTTTGGGTCTCACTGTTTACCTACGGAAACTGCTAGGCGTTCGTTTTTATCCGTGATAAATCTATTGTTCCATCCAATAGATTCTAAACAGGGTGTACTTAAAATTAAAGTTTGTCAGTGCTACTCACAACGGGTAATTAAGTGGGGTTACGTTTTTGAAAAGGACTTCGATATGTTAACCACCTCTCCTTGTTGACCACTTTGGTCTAGTCGCTTGAGTGGCCAGCTTACGGAGATTTTACTGCATTTACAAAGGCATAAAGCACTATCAATTTTCTAGTCTCAGGATTCCCTAGCATGGTACCTGATGCTAGGAGCTTGTGAGGCCAAGAAGCTTAGTACCATTCGGAACGGGTGGGGATAGTTCCGAGTCATCTGACAGACAGATCCATGAAATGTCTCAATGTGCACGCTAATGTTTAAGAGCTTGGCCGTTAAATTGGGCCTTGCAAGATACAATTCAACCCGATTACCAAGTCGCCACTGCTCAGTGAGTCATTTAAACCGTTGATATCACGGACCTCAGCAGCAGCAGGAGCTGAGCAAAACTTGTGCTGGTTAGGTAGAACATGACATCTCGTCACAATGATCTCATCGTGTGCACGCTATGGGGCTATAGCAACATAGAGGCGATTGTCTATCCGTCCTGTGTAGAACCACATGACACAATATATGGGCACCTTCGCACTGGTGTTGCACAGTCATTATTATCCGTAAAATGGTCAAACGAGATCGGCCCATCACTAATTATTCACATACCTACAAACTGCTCAACACCATACTGCCGTGGCCCATTAGTCCTCATGTGAGTGGAAAGTGTGTTAGCGTCCCATGGGATTGGTATGCATTGAGGATAAGTTTAGAATACACCAAACAGCGGAATTATTTCTTATCTATGGACGGTTTATTGTGGGACCTCCTCAAAACTGTAGTATATCATTGCCTCATTTAATCATATCTCATCCTTTCTCTGTTTGTGAGAAGAGCGTGGACAATAGCCCTTCCCACACTAGGGTCCCTGTATCACGAGTACTTACCACTAAGCTAACTTAATCATAGCTACCCTTCCGCCTAATAACTAGACCGGAAGCATGAATGAATCTATCGTGTATGCGTACTCTTGGACGAGGGTTCTACCACGTTGTCCACCGGCAAACTCAGAACATGTGGCCGATCAAATTCTCTCAGAGTATAACCGGGTCAATTTTTGCATTGTTGTTGAATAGACGGACGCAGACGGACGCACCCTTTGTCATGTGTTTCGTGTAATTAGCACCAAATCGACAATCCACTGTTTATCATAAGTCCTGAATATCCACTCGAAGTGACTGATCGGACCCCAAATCCGGGTCGCCATATCCACTCACTGATGGACTGACTACTTTCACGAACGTAGTTGCGAATCTGTTCAAACATTAGTCTCCTGTGGGGATGGCCACTAGCATCCAACCAACCAAGACTAGAATTTATCGCACTGTTGTGCAACCAGCGCTGCAGAAACACAACCGCTGAAGTTTGAAGTTTGTCCATGGGTGCTCAAGTTGTATTGCTCGCATTCAGTGAAACGACGAGCGAGTTATCCGTCAGGAAGTGTTTACCGGACAATCCATTGGATTCGCACTAGTCTGTTGATACTGCATGAACCTCCTAGGTTGACTAAGCGGCGTCCCTAACAGCCACTTTTGCTTGTTAAGAAACTTGAAACACTGAGTCCCCTTTAACCACTTTAATAGCGCAGTAAGAAGCTACTGGTTGTGATATGTCAACATTTCGATTGCTCTCGTCAGTCGCGACGCAATACAAGTAGAATAAAATACGCATTAAGTACGATCCACACTTATTAACATTGCCAAACACACAAAGTTGGTGGGAATGGCGCAAGTAGGTGCATGGCAATCTAATTGATTGTCTCAGTGGTTTCTGTGTGCACAGCGCGGGACAATTCAGCATAAGCAGCAGCACCACGCAAAGTAGCAACTTCGGGTTTCTGTTACGCAATAGCACCTTGATTGAATCGATTGGGTTCATCTGGTGACGAGTTGTCATTGGGTGCTTAGTGATAGACGAGACAGGTTTCCCGTTCATTTTTTTGGTCTACTCCGCCTTGGTGAGATAGCAAGTGCCTTGACCACAATGGGAAATGTTCCGCCACCCTTAGAGCCAGCCGGCGAGCAATCCTGCCGATGCAAGAGTCACCGCAACTGAAAGTGAACTGGTAGGTGCTGTTGGAAATGGAACTAATTGATGCGATTTAGTGAAATAAGAACTGTTTTTCTAGAGGTTACGACCAAATTTGTATTAAAACTATGTTGCTGTCTGTGCCACTTATTAACTTACTTGTGTATCCACTGTTTTAAGTTTTATTTTTGCAATACTAAAGGCTCGTATTTAATAGCTGAGTATTCACCCTTCTTGGTGTGTAAAGTTCTTTCTTGAGTTGAAGTGAATTGGTCAGTTGCGGTTAGTTGTGCATAGATGTAATTGACTTTGGTTGTAATTGCATTGGCGCTCTTTTAAGACGCTGTAAAGTATAAAGCCGTGTTAGATTACGCGTACGATTATGCATGAAAGTACGCTTGGGCAGGCTGTAGTGAACAACTTGCCTGCATAAACATTTTACAGACTTGCTCTTTGAACTAACTGTTCCTTGTTGTTTGTCCCTACAAACTTTCACTAGAATCATTGTCTATTGGATCGGTTTGTGACATGAATGAAGGTAGCTAGGTTCTTTGAGCTGTCTCTGCTCGAAACTACTTTTCTCGCCGACCCTTCATTGATCAACCAATCACAACAGCGTAGAAGCACTTTTTCTTTCAACTGGTTTTCCAGTTCACTACCCGTTCAAGTTTCAGCTGCCTCCATTAGGTCTTGTACTATAATCAGGATCTCTGTGCCCAGCTAACTGCCTTGTAATAATGGTCTTCAGGCTGGAATACACATTCCGTCGCTTTTATAGCACATGACTGCTATAGTGTCTATCGAAACTGAATGCTCTGCTCTCTAAAAATTGTTGGTGAGTTGCGGTCAGAGGCTATGGGATAACAGAGGCCAAGATAATGATAGAGGTAAATATTGTTGTAAATATCGCAGTGACTATCTCCACATGATGCGAGTCTCAGAATTACGTATAGACAGGCTGTACTTGAGCTATTCAGACATGAATCACGTACACATTAGTATCTAACCTACAATCAAGGTGTGGAGGTCTATAGTGACCAGTGACTGGCGGCTAATAAGTTCTCACACCACAGTAGACGCCGCGTCACGTTTATGCACATGTAACATGATGAGAGTCACTCTCCATCGATTATTCTCATAATCAGGACATGGTCACACGGGCCTCTGTCGAAATGTGCACTTCTAACGAAAAGTGGCTCGGAGTATAACCCACTGTTCATCAAAGATAATGAGTTTTACCAGATGAGGCACAGCGACGCTACTTCCAACTGCGAGATGGATCTTTGAGAGTAACACAGACGCACGATGGTTTGTGGATATGGATGTTGGATTGATTGCATGATATCTTAATCAAACGTTGATATTTCATGTCTCGTGAATAGGGAGGAGGGTTCTCTTTTCTATTGTGTTTCATTGACAGTCGTAGTTGTTCAGTGCTAGTTAGATGGAAGTCTCTTGACCATGTTAATGTAGTGGGCGTTCATGAGCCTTCCAGATTACTAATCAATTATCAAACTCAACTTCGGACACAGTTCGAAGATTTAATCACCTTTTATGTCCCACTCCTCATGTCGGGTGTTTCTAGAAATCTGATTCCTCTTTGTTAAAAAGTGTACACTGTAAATTATATTGGGCAGTAATCACAACTGAATTTACGTTACTTCGAGTCGGCATCTTTTTCTGATAAAACTAGTTGAAACTCAACAAGAAAAATCATAACTTGAAGGCACCTTTCCAACGTTGATATCACCGGGAGCAAATCACACATAATGGATTGCTTACTCTAAACCAATTTTTGGTGAACGCATGGCCACCGTTGAGAAGTTGGTGTGTGCACCTGATCCGTTCCAATCCCCGGCCATCGGTTTCGGGTCAAAGGTGATGACGACACCGAAATCCTCTGCGACGCGATGCAGAATGAAGCGCGCTATCCACAAATGATCGCCAGCAGACACACCCGCACAAGGGCCAATTTGGAACTCCCACTGTGAACAGTGATAAAACGCATTTGGGTGATTATTAAAACCTTTTCGTTTAACGTAGCACACTCATTATGGAAGCAGTTCACATCATTTTCCATTTTGTTACCGTTGTGTTTGTCTGAGTTGGATAGGGATCACCAGAGGATGCTTGCGTTCACATAGCTCTCACTCCACAACACCCAGATTTTGTTTTCATTGGCCACTATATATTCCATTAGCAATACGGTGTATCGGTGAACTCATACACCTTAAACTATATTTTCTTTCCAGAAGACATCTAATGGTTTCTTGTAACGAGGTTCGTATGACTAGGAGGTTGGAGCGAGGAATGGGCGCTGTTGGTTTTAGAACGCAATCATAAGAACTTGTCAAAGAATTTCCAGTTAAATGGTGTGGGATAACTCACAACGGCGGGTAAGGAGACTGCATCTGAAAATTTTCAGCGCTTCTCGCCAGCATCGCCCTGCCAATTGGTAACACTATACCGTAACGCTACAATATCACCTTGTCGGCGCCATCGGACCAAAATGGCACCGCAGATGGCCATGACTGATGAATTGTGTCTGCCATGAGCGATCCTTCGTTTACTTTTATGTCCAGTGGTCCTTAGGTCGTGTACTTGGAAATAGCTGGATGGCTCACTATCTGCTGATGCGTAAAGGCAGCGCAGTTGAGCGACAGTACGTCTAGGCCGTTGCACCTACCTGGTTAGTCGTACTTAATTTCCTTCATAGGTTAGATTTGATTTCAATGACGCGCTTAGATGACCATCAAAACGATCTCTAACGTACGTTACTTTCAACTTCCTGGAGGCTATGCAGCATCAGTTTGCTCGTAAATATATCCTATTATTGCCTCCACGCTGAGTGGGTAGTTAGCCACAAAGGTCTGACTCTAGGTATCTTGATAGGTGCTTGAAAATTCGGAGGGGATTTTACTCTGGCTGAAGTGCATGCTGCATTGGCACACAGCACAATATGCAATAATATTTATTCTGACAATAGTCACGTCAAACAATATTAGTATTACGCGGAGGGGAAACGGAGAACTTCTTCGCTTACCTGAGATGGCATAACTTCGGCGTTAGTTCCACAGATTTCGACACCAGCGTAGAGACAAGCGCGATAGTGAGCCTCCATCACATCCCTGCCTAGTGCTTTATCAGCCCCAACAGAGCAATAATACGGGCCTGTAATGGGGAACAGGAGGGTTAAGTCACATGTATGGTCTTGAGTTTGTATAAATTGGTCACGAGAACATACGTCAGAAACCAGTTGAGATTACGTAGTCTACAAAAGACATCGTGTCATGTGCATTAAACTAATTGGAAGTAGACGTGATTCACAGCAATGCTTGATTCCTCGTAAGGCGGCTTCGAATGGTGTTTTGAAGAAGCAAATCAAATATCATGAACTTTATGGGCTATTCGTTATGAATATGCCTATGTTAGTTTCACAATGTCACTTTTACATGTGCTCGCAGACTACCCACCTCTGGCTGTCCAAGAAGAAATGCATTGAAACAGGTTTAAGACATTTCTATTCGTAGTTGGATCTAAAGTGATGTAAGTCAGAGAAATGTTTAAATTTTCGGCTTTCATTAAAACTTCACCAGAACAAAACACTGAATATCGGTAGCTCGGTTGGCATTTAAGCTTTTGAAATTGTCGCCGAGCCGGGCAATTCAGTTTCAGATGTTTCAACACCAATCGAGTTGGTATCACCCATGAGTAATGATACATGGCCTGTTAATACTACCGGGGCTCCCGGAATATCTGGATTCGCTTTCACCATTGATGGAGAATCATCTGCAACTGAATCAACCGGTTCTTCCAGCACATACTACGCGTGAACTCCCACGTGTAGTGTGTCCGGCTTAGTTTACAAGTCCTTGGCCAACCATAAACCGACTTCCGCACCTGTGCTACCTACATCGATGTACGCAGCTACCAAATGCTGAGAAGTATAGAACGTCAACCGGCCCACTGGGTCATAGCGCGGCACTACGCTGAACGGCAGTGATCAAGTAAATGCAAGTTGAAAAGAGCTCCAGATGTAGGGTGTCTGCGGGTCAGGAGAATGTTGTCGAGTAGCCACATTAAGGTTAGCCTGATAGCGCTGTTCCAAATGGGAACATCTAAAGTGTGCTAACTTATCCCAACAACAGAGGAGAGATTGAAACGGCTCCTAAAGCCTTCTTTGGTTTTGTACTACGTGTTCGACCATCCCAGCCAGAAATAGTGCCCTGATCGTAGTGTGCTCAAATGTCCGGGAATCTAGCATCATCACAATACGGCGTAAGTTGTCTGATGACCGAAATCAATGGAACTCACTGTGTATTTTGATAAACGTCGAAACCAAGCACACCAACCTAATACGAGTTATTTGTCATCCTAACTGCACACTATGGCGAACCTAGACATATCAGAGCGACCTTAGATTCCACCACTGAAGTGGAAAACGTTGCACTCTTTGCCAATGCGCTCAAACACGGACTGATGCAACTTCGACAACGTTCTCATTTCCGATTGGCTGAGGGAAACCGAAGCTCCCTAAAGTCAGGTCCATTTATGCAATACTTGCTGCCCAATGGATTGGAATTTCAACGAAATAAGATACAATCGCGACAGCTGCAGTAGGTGTCCAGGATCCGGTGCAAACTGCCAAGTAATGGCCAAGGATACCGTTCATCGCGGCCCATACAACATCTAAGACCAGACAGAGTTACGGCACCTTAACACTCATATGCACCGACTTCCATAAGCCCAAGGCAAACTGCTTAAGGTGTAAACAGCAAGATGATCTGACATAGTGGAATTTCGCTTGTAATCGATCCGGTGTTAGGGTCAGACTGAATAACCTATGATGATGTCGAGTGGTAATTTTGTCGACATTCCGCCTCCCGAGTGAATACAGTGGGATAGGCATTTTTCCGCATGCCCCATGGAGCGAACACCAACGAGACAAGCATAATTCAAAAGACCTCCTAACAGGTATTAGTAGAAAATAGTTTCGTCCTTTAAATGCAATACTTGTCGACCGCCAGCGGCTAGAAAACCTAAACTGATGATCTGGAAGGATAGCCGTACATCCATGTAACTCTGTCCTGGTAACGCGATACTTCACTCAAGTACACAGCTACTCGTAACGCCTCATTACAAGAGCAGTGGCCCGATTATACTGAAACTTATAGTTCAGTCCCAACGGACGGCGGTGAACTTAATGCGTGGCATAAACTGCGCAGCATACTACCTTCGGAACTGCGATTAAAGGTAGCAAATAGGAAACAGCAACCACCCCACGTCATCGATGAAGCAATACCACCCTGGACTCAATGTAACCACAACAGCGATTCATAAAGGTGTGCGCTCAGACCAACAGCTATTTTAAACACCACCAATGGACTGCCTATTACATATACAGGAGAGTAAAACGGATTGCAGTTATATGGAGGCTTGGCGTTACAACGTTCACCTGCATACCGCTAAAAGACATTATATGCCGGCCTTTCATCTGTCCGCATAAATTCACCTCTTTCATACGCTTGCTGTCACGCAATTTCTGCGTTCCAGAAGCTATCCTGCAATTTCGAACAGCGACTCCCTCAGAGACCAAGTCTGTGACCTCCCCGCTATGATTTGCATCAAGGTCGAACTGCCAGGCATGTCAGTTGTTGGGATTCACCGACCCGGTAAAGAGGGTAGGGTGGCAGTGTACTTCTGCAGTAACCTCCTATGTAAGCTGATAGAGTATTCGGTCAAAATGGTGCAGGAATGTCTTTGGTATCGTCCACGATTAAGAGACGACTGCTTGGTATTGATCTTTTAAAGTTCTTCATCTTCCACGCCCTAAAAGGGCTTCGATTTGGCATCGGCGCTGAGGCAACGATAAAAACACTGGCGATTTCAATATAGACATTCTTCAACCCCGTTATTCCTGGAAAACAGTTCAAGTCGGATCTACAAGAGGTCGTCCCCAATCTCCCCGGTATGGCAACATCAACACCCACCAGATTTAGAGAGACAGATAGACCGTAAATCCTGCATCGGATATTCACCGAGGAACTCATGATCGTTAAGATGATAGTCGACGTCCGCTTGAGCCGCAGAAATCATGTAGTTTTACCCATCGAATACATCTGTTATGCAGAATATCCCGTGGAAAGTGCCGACGCAACGAAAAATATTTTATGGTACAACATAGCTTGACGCGGTGCGACAACCAACTGGACCTACGTGGCAGACGAGACATCGGCGAGAACATGAGAAGATTTCGTCAGCCGGTTTAAAAATCTGGTTACACATGCGTAAGAAACTAAGGCTGTTTAAGCCATTGTGTCCTGAATTAATTCACCTAGTTCAATAGTGAATGATGGAATGGAATGGAATGATGGAAAATCAAATCAAAAATGATCCAACGTGGAACCGGAATCATCATTGTTGATCAACAGTGATACTAGCCGTCGCTCAAAGGTGCCGAGCGTACGCCTCAAAAGCCTCAAATTCAAGTTTACCACATTCACTGCCTTCGAGCATTGGAGCGAATTGCCCAGATTTTTTTACACGATGATACCTAAGTCGCGTTCACTAGCCACCTGTTGCAAAACGTGTTGTCCCAGAAGTTGTGTTGCTGAAGCTGCTACGCTCCATCAGCAGGTGGCACTTTGCAGGGTTCAGTGGGAGCTGGTTCCTTTCTGCCCATTCGTTAATCCGAGCAAGATCGTTCTTCAGATATGTATGGTCGAATGCTGAGCGAAATTTTCTTCATATTCTAGCATCTTATGTAAATATTTGCATCGAGGATAAAATGTTTTCTGGGAGGTCGTTTATGTGAACTAAAAACGGTGGCGGGCCGAGGACGCATAGTTGCGGTACGCAACTGGAGACACACAGGCTTTCGAAGTGAGTGTTGGCTATTCTTATCTTAATATTTCTATCTCGTAGGTAATCTTCCAACCAAGTGAGCACGGAATTGCTGATGCCATAAGCAGCAAGTTTGTGGAGGAGAACGAAGTGATTGACCCAGTCGAATGCCTTAGAAAAGTCTAAGTAGGTCACATCTATGGAAATTTCTTCATCAGCTACTCTGGTCCATGAATCCCGGATAAGGAGCAAGTTGGTGAGGCAAGATCGTCTGCGCCTGAAACCGTGCTGAGCATTGGAGATTCTTTCCAGACTTAAAATATCGCGTCAGTGCATCTGGAATTACCGATTCCATCACTTTGATAAAACAGGTAGGAGAATCATAGGTCGGTACTCGGCAGGATCTGATTGCTTACCTCCTTTGTATATCGGATTGATGGTTTCATTTTTCAACTCAGATGCGAATGTATGTGAGTCAAACAGACCATGGAAAAACGCTACAAGATGTACTACTATGGTGTGCGTTAGACTTTTAAGTATCTTTGGGCAGATCATGTCGATTCCGGGTGCACTGTTCTCAGAGAGACTGTAATTTGTTCACGGCAGCCTCTGGAGTAAAGGTGACACTGGATAAGCCCACAGCATTTGTTGGGACTTGATAGAGGAAAGGTTCCATGGTAGTTGTAGCCACCGAGCCAAACTGCAGGAGTAGAGCGTTCGCGGTATCCACAGCAGTAGGCGTTAAGCTACTGACCGTGTTAAGTGGTGGTATTCCAGGTTTAACCTTTCTCTTATCGTTCACATACCTGTACAGTAAATTGTTGTTACTCGTAAACTTGAGTACCATAGTCTCCTGCCATTCGTACTTGTGTGCACGAATAAGTGACTGTTTGTGATTGATTGATTGTTTTGTAATTCTGCCATGAGGTATCACATGGGCTTAGCGCATGTTGCGTCCAAATCTCATCTCTTCTGTGAATCCATTAAGGTGTAGTGCTCGGAGTCCAAGTAATGGTCTCGTGCGATGCTCGTAATGGTACAACTTCCGATGCTAATCGTATGTCTAAATTAATTTTACCTTCCACTTTTTTCCATGAGTCGTCCACCGAACGCTGAGCCTATAGGCCCCAATCAACAGTTGTCGCTATTTGAAAAGCACCGAAAGAAGACCAAGGCTGGTAGATGCATGCATTTCGTATTGTCTCCTCAGTACCATTAACAATAACCGATAAGCATAGATATAGCTAACAGTGGGTGCAACCAGACAAGCATAAGGTGCAAAATGAATGACGGAAGTTCACACTTACGTCCAAGGCAGCTTTAGGCTG